CAAATCCTAATGCCGGAACACAGTTTTGCACCTTTGGCATGTAAAAATGTACCTCCACCCAGCACCTCACTCACTGCCCTTGAGATTGCCAATCACTTCAAAAACAAAATTGACACAATTCGCAAGGACATTGCCGCAACTCACACGCCCTCTCAACCTGTCCCCTCTCACACAGCTACCCCCTTATCCCCCCTCCCCCTCGACATAACCCGCAGGGACTTCGTCGCTGCTCAAACTCTCTCCAACCCCCTTCACCCTCACTCAGCTACCCCCTCATCACCCCTCTCCCACGGCCCCACCACTGCTCTGACCTCCTCTTCCACCCCACCCTACATTCCTCATACTGAAGCTCCCCCAGCTCCCCCAACACTCCACACCTTTGACTACTACCATCGAGGAAGTCTCCAAGACCCTCTCTGATGCCCGCCTCACCACCTGCCCCCTCGACCCTATCCCCTCACAACTCCTACGACCTTCCTCCTCCTCCATCCTACGCTCCCTCACCCACATCTTCAATCTCTCCCTCTCCTCAGGCACTTTCCCCTCCCCTCTGAAACATGCACACATCACCCCCATACTTAAAAAGCCCTCCCTGGACCCCAATGACCCGAACAACCTCAGACCCATCTCCCTGCTCCCATTTACATCTAAACTCCTCGAGCGCCTAGTCTACACCCGCCTATGCTCTCACCTCAACGACAACAACCTCCTCGATCCCCTACAGTCCGGCTTCCGTCCCCTACACTCCACCGAAACTGCCTTACTCAAACTCTCCAACGACCTGCTAACCGCCAAAGCTAATGGACACTATTCAGTGCTCCTACTCCTTGACCTCTCTGCGGCCTTCGACACAGTCGACCACCCCCTCCTCCTCAAAAAACTACACTCCTCGGCCTCAGAGATTCTGCTCTCTCCTGGATCTCATCCTGCCTGTCACAACGCTCTTTCAGCGTTACCTATAATGCTACCACCTCCCCCTCACTCCCCCTCTCTGTTGGGGTCCCTCAAGGCTCTGTCCTCGGGCCCCTTCTCTTCTCCATCTATACCTCCTCCCTTGGCCAACTCATACACTCTCACGGCTTCAACTACCACCTCTATGCCGACGACACACAAATCTATCTCTCAACCCCCCACCTCACCCCCTTGGTCTCAGCCCGAATCACACACCTACTGAGCGACATATCAGACTGGATGTCGCTCCACTTCCTTAAATTGAACCTCTCCAAAACCGAGTTTCTTGTCTTCCCCCCAGCCCGGACACCACCCCCCATTGATTTCTCCGTCACATCCAACAACGCTACCATCAAACCCGCCTGCAGGCCAGAGTACTGGGTGTCATTCTGGACTCCAACCTATCCTTCCAGCCCCAAGTCCAATCTTTAACAAACTCGTGCAGACTCCACCTCCGCAACATCGCCAAAATCCGCACGTTCCTAACCCCAGAAACCACTAAACAGCTCATCCACTCCCTCATCATATCACGACTCGACTACTGCAACTCCCTCCTCACTGGCCTGCCTCGCCGCTGGCTATCCCCTCTTCAGTCCATCCTGAACACGGCTGCCAGACTCATTCACCTTTCCAACCGCTCTGTCTCCGCCACCCCCCTCTGCCAATCCCTCCACTGGCTTCCGATTGCGCAACGGATCAAATTCAAAATCCTAACGCTGACGTACAAAGCTGTCCACCATACTGCCCCGAACTACATCACTGACCTAATATCCAAGTACCGCCCAGCACGCACACTCCGCTCCTCACAAGACCTCCTTCTCTCTAGTTCCCTGGTCTCCTCTTCCCATGCCCGCCTCCAGGACTTCTCCAGGGTGTCACCCATCCTCTGGAACTCCCTGCCCCAACCCATCAGATTATCACCTACTCTCCTCTCCTTTAGGCGCACCCTGAAAACCCATCTCTTCAGGGAAGCCTACCCCACCCCCTGCTAACTTGCCGACCTCCTCCACTCTTCCTACCACTCCATCCCCCACAGCTATCTCCTCCTGTGCCACCACCCCCTCCATCCTAGATTGTAAGCTCGAAAGAGCAGGGCCCTTGATCCCCTCATGTTTTGCATTGTATTGGTATTGTTCTGTCACATGTTCTGTCTCCCTTTGTAATGTACAGCGCTGAGCGAACTATTGGCGCTTTATAAATACTGTATAATAATAATAATAATAATAATAATATCACCACACCTGCTTAACCCAGCCATACACGAATCAAAATTCACCGGTTCACCAGAGATCTATGTATGGGCAGAGGTTGTACACAAGTCGATCTACCAATCGACTGATGTACAATCACCCTGTTGGCAAACTTCTGCTTGATCTGCATCTTTAGCTACAGTCAGCAGTACTGATTAGTGTATTTTGATGGGGGGGGTCTCCCCACCGCCAGGATACAAGGGCACAGTGGTAGGATTCTCCATCCAAATGCGTGGATAGGGGAATTGATTTTTTTTTGTTTTTTTCTTAATTCGCTAGCTGAAGTAAAAAAATAAATCATCTAAAGACTGCCAGGTGAATTTTCCCTTGTGTTTTCCTCAGGAAGAATTTGGCTTTTTTTAGGTGGTAAATGGTAATGGATATCTCCCGATTTCTTTCTTGATTATCACAAAAATGCATATATATATATATATATATATATATATATATATATATATATATATATATATATATAATTTTAGCTTTATATTCCTTGCTATTACCATAACCTGCAATCAAAAAATAATCCAAAATAGATTCTCCTGCTCCTGATGGATGCAACAATACCACATATGTGTATGTTTTTTGCTGTTTGTACCCATAGTAGGGCCCAGACATTTGGGGGGGGGGGGGGGGGTTATCCTACCTAAAAAATATTTACACTAACTGATACTAATTTGTAAATTGCTTTTTTTGTAATTCTATCTAAAATACACTGAACATGACCCAAACTTTGAGTCTAATTTTTTTTTTTTTTTTTTTTTTACACACATTTGTTTAAAATGTTCTCTAGAAAGGAGGAAAAGAAACAATGTATCCTTCTCCATTCAAGAAGAAAAAAAAAAAAAAAAAAACACAGAAGCGGGCTGCACAGTGACTAATTACTGTGATGGCCATTCAGAGGCTATTAAAGCGATCAGGTAATCAGGAACTGGGATTTCAAGCATTGGTATGGTACACAGGGTTCTCAGTGAGAGCCCAGTCTGTTCTGGGAGCACACTGTTCAGCGGACTCCCAGTACAACCACATATATGTGGCATTATGGAAGAAGACCCATTTCTTTGAGGCTGCATATACAGTATGTGTACAGGCAGTGGGCAGGGATTAACAGACCAAACAAACTGTGGGGTCCTAGCATGTAAAATCAAGACAATTGCACAAATATCTTAACGTGGAATAAAATTCTAACACTACCTATTAAAAAAAGTTCCCTCCCCTCTACACCTATACCCTGTGTAACAAAGATCTGTATAGTTATCTTCTTTTTAGTCCACTTCGGTCACGTATCCTGCAGCTCCAGCTTCCTTGTGTCATGGATTGCTCAACAATGGTTAAAAATTCCGAAAGCTGTGATGTCACCCATAGGTTCCAATGGCCCAGCCATTGTCAGTGTTCCCTCTTCAACACTGCAGCCCCTATCACTGACACAGGGCTGCTGGATCACATGAAGAAAAGTACACATATCTATTTTACACTGGGTAGGCAGGATAGGAAGGAAGGGGGGAAGGGAACATTATTAGGAATGGTTAGTGTTAAGCTTGAATTCCACCTTAAGGCAACAGTTTACTATTGATTTTCTAAGGTAACTGAAACTACATATAGATTGCATATATGTAACCCATGCTCAGTTACCTGACCCGGTGTTTCATGAGGACAGCTTTATAAGAAGGGATAAGATGGCCAATCTATACTATATTTGCCAAACATATTGGGAGGCCTTCCTTTACACGCACGTGAACTTGAAAGGAATCCCAGTGTTAGTCCGTAGGGTTCAATACTGAGTTGGCCCACCCTTTGCAGCTATAACAGCTGCAACTCTTCTGGAAAGGCTGTCCACAAGATTTAGAAGTGTGTCTATGGGAATGTATAACCATTCTTCCAGAAGCGTATTTGTGAGGTCAGGCACTGATGTCAGACGAGAAGGCCTGGCTCATAGTCTCCACTCTAATTCATACCACAGATGTTCTATCTATTGAGGTCAGGACTCTGTGCAGGCCAGTCAAGTTCCTCCACCTCAAACTTGCTCATCCATGTCTTTATAGACCTTACTTTGTGCACTGGTGCGCAGTCATGTTGGAACAGGAAGGGGCCTTCCACTGTTTCCACACAGTTGGGAACATGAAATTGTCCAAAATGTCTTGGTATGCTAATGCCTTAAGAGATCTCTTCACTGGAACTAAGGGGCCAAGCCCAACCCCTGAAAGACAACCCCACACCATAATCCCCTCTCCACTTTACACTTGGCACAATGCAGTCAGGCAAGTACCATTCTTCTGGCAACCGCCAAACCCAGACACGTCCATCGAATTGCCAAAGAAGAGTGATTCATCACTCCAGAGAACACATGTGCACTGCTCTAAAGTCCAGTAGCAGCGTGCCTCACACCACTGCATCTGACACTTTGCATTGCACTTGGTGATGTAAGGCTTGGATGCATCTGCTGGGCCAAGGAAACCCATTCCATGAAGCTCTCCATGTTGTGCTAATTAGAAGGCCACATGAACTTTAGAGATCTTTAGCTATTGACTCTGCAGACAGTTGCCAACTTCTGCGCACTGTGCGCTTCATCATGCGATGACCCCGCTCTGTCAAATTACATGGCCTACCACTTCGTGGCTGAGTTGCTGTTGTTCCCAGTTGCTTCCACTTTGTTATAATACCACTAAAAGTTGACCATGAAATATTTAGTAGCAAGGAAAGTTCTGGGTGGACTTATTGCACAGGTGGCAACCTATCACGGTACCACGCTTCAATTCACTGAGCTCCTAAGAGCGACCCATTCTTTCACAAATGTTTAAAATCAAGCACCTAGGCATGCAGGTTGCTTCTATATACACCTGTGGCCATGGAGATGATTGGAACACCTGAATCCAATGATATGGAGGGGTGTCCTAATACTTTTGGCAATATAGTGTAAGTCCAAGCAGTCCCATGGTACTGTATTTGTCATCCACATCACTACCCCGCAAGTGAATGTTGATTCTGCAGGATGCAGCATGAAGGATAGGAGAGGGCAGTGGGTAAGGCAGAAGAGAACCATCACGATCTGAAAGAGTGGCCAAGGGAGACCAGCAATCATCCTTTTAGCTTGTCAGTGTGTCCATGAAATGGTATTAAAGGGCTGTCGGCTGTCAAAGAACTAGTTGAAAAGTGGGTGGATGGACAGAAAATATAACATTAAAAACTACCAGAACCCACTGAAAAAAAATGCATGCACTGGTTATTCTTTCTTGCCCCTAGAAAGAAAGACCTCAGCATTATAACTTTGCTAATACTAGCCAAATTCATGCAGCCTTTTTCTTCCTATTGCTTTACAAATTGATATGCTTTAGTGCCCCATTAACACATGTACAATATAACTGTCCCAAAAACACAAATGTCATACTTTAAAGGTTACAGCATAAAACAACATATGTTCATATTGTTATGTGCTGATAGATTTGTGTTTTAGGTTTATCTTGTTTTACAAGTGTTTCTGACTCTAGGCAAAACAAGTGGCAGCAACACGCTGATATGAAGTATTGTACAAACTCTCCCACAGGATGTCCAACCCCTCCTACAAGTTGCCACTGAAAATGTGGAGAAAAGGCTTGAGAAGCTTTGGGTTTGCATCAATCGGCAAATGCAACTTGCTTCCAGGTGAATGCCAAATGCATTTGACATTTGAAACCATGAGAAAAATTAGAATTCATTATTAGATTAAGTGTAACTCCAGATAATACGTTTTTTTTAGGGTAGAGCAGGGAAAAATTTGAACCTCTGCAAAGATTTTAATGTCTTTGTGGTCATTTTGATTTCCTTTTCATTTTACTCCCAAATCCTAATCACACAAAAAAACAGGGTGGGTCCTTAAAACATGTTAACGAAGGCATGGCTCCATGCCACAGCACCACTAATCTCCAGAGACATTCCAATGGACTATCTTTGGTTTACCACTGGCCACAAGTGCTAAATCCCCTGCAGTAAAGATTATCCCTTTAAAAAGGCAATTCAAGCAGACTTCTCTAGGTGTAACAATCAGCAGAAGTGTTGTTTATTAAAAGATTTTATGCAGTACACCAGCACTTTTTCTTTCTTAAAGCTCACTCTCTCAATCAACATTGACTATTTTTATTTTATTCAGTTACTTTCTGGTTGCAGGGCTTAGGCAAATCATTTCATGCATCCCAGGAGTCTTTAGCAGGGGAGGAGTTTTCTCAGCTAAACACACCCTCCTGCCTTCATACCTGAGCTAAGGGAAGATGGATTCCATTAAGTAAATACTACATGAATCATCTGCCCTTACTCAAGATGGCCACAGCCAGAAATGCTAGGGGATGATTTTCAAAGGTATTTCTCAGCAAAATAAAGCATGGAGACTTGGATGGATGGATGGGTTTGCTTTGAATAGTAAGATTAATCAAATAGTTTTTGATTTGTGGTGCTCAGATGCAGTGTAGTCCCACTTGAAGGGTTTTTCACACCATTATTTTTTAAATCGGCTTTGCAATTATTTTTTAAATCGTTTTTCACCATTATGTCTTTGCAATTATTTTAAAATTTTTTAAATTGTTTTTTTTTATCATTTTCACCATTATGTCTTTGCAATTATTTTTAAATCGTTTTTCACCATTATGACTTTGCAATTATTTTTTAAATCATTTTCACCATTATGCCTTTGCAATTATTTTTAAATCGTTTTTCACCATTATGCTTTTGCAATTATTTTTTTAATCTCTTAAATAAACATGTAGTTTGCATGAATAAAACCAATCAATTGTTACCGTATAATCAGTTGAAACATTACAATGGCCAAAAATGTACACACCTGTTTAAACCACACAAAGTAAGCTGTGACAGTGGTTAGTCTGAGATTATGTGCCTCTTGATGCCATAGTGTCATATTCATGTTCCTGAAAAATGTTAGGTTTATATGTAATCGATTGTAGAAATAGATCCAGGATCTAGGCCGTGTTCCCTCTAGCATATAACACTATCCAAGGAAGAAAGTGCACTGCCAGGGAATGCTAATAATAATCATACAGGACTAAGATGATCTTGGCATTATTCCTCCCAATGCCTCACAGCATAAAACAAAGTAAACTACACAGTAAGCACGCTTGTAGATTGATCTAGGTCCAACATCATTATTTTTCCATTTTGCCACTGATACTGTCAATACTGAGGACTGCATGTATGGCTACAAAGCTGCAAATCAGATCGGATTTTCAAATAGCAATGTTATTTGTGTTGGTGTGCTACAGTGCTATTCACTGTGAATGGCACCCCAACAACCTCCAAAACCCACATGAGATGCAACACACTGCAGTCAAATACAACACTCAGTGTCATCCGTACTATGAAAAAAATGCAGATAGCAGAGCACTACACTGTGGTGTAAATTGGCCCCAATTGGATAGATAGATAGATAGATAGATAGATAGATAGATAGTAAAAATGTTCTTACTTTAAAATGTATAAGGACAGTCTTAGGCTCCATGCACACTGGACATTTTAATAACGCTGGTAACGTTAGCTGTGTAAAGTCACGTTAAAAATGTGAGTTTTTCAGCGGATTTTAGCGTTTTTGCATTAGCGTTTTATCACATTTGCGTTTGTTTTGGGTCAAAAAAAGGTCCAAAAACGGCAGTTTGCTGCGATTTACCACGTTTTACCGTGTTGTTCAGCGTTAGAGCATTTTTACAGCAAAAAAACTCCTCTAGAAACCCACTAGTCCTGGGGGTGTTTTTCCAGCCAAAAAATGTCCCTGCCAAAAAACGTTGATTACAGTCTGTGTGTGCATGGACACATAGGAAAACATGATGGAGAGTTTACTAGCTGTAGAAAAAAAAAACATCAAAAGCCAAAAACAGCAGCTGTAAAATGTCCAGTGTGCATGAGGACCTACTTGGAATAAAAGAACATTGTTATGTTTCTCTTTGGCAACCTCCCATATGAAACACCACACCCTGACCGGCAGTAATCTTAAGAAATAGTATGTAACTGTTGAAAACACTGTTTAACGTTTAAAATGACATGTGTGAAATGTAAAAGCACTGAAAGACATAAGTAATTTTCCCTTAGGCGTTCATTTAACTTTCACATTTCAATTTTGTAGAGTGGTATACAAAATATCAAAACTCTACAGGCAAGTTAAACATAAACAAATACAGAGCACCCATTACTAATGGTCTAGTTCGGGTGTCGGCAACCCGCGGCTCTTTTTCACCTTGGCTGCGGCTCCGGAGCACACTGCCCACCAGGTGACAGGCAATAGGGCAGCAATGGGCAAACTACGACCCGCGGGCCGTATACGGCCCGGCGGACCTTTTAATCCTTTTAATCCGGCCCGCAGAGCTAGGCTCCTCTCACAGTCCGCCCTGAAGACCGGTGTAGCATGAAAATCTGTCTCCTATGAGGATCTGTCCCCCTCGACGTATCTGCGCATGTGCCGGAGATCGCCGATCGGCTGCTAATGCCTGAAACTGGCACATGCGCAGATACGTCGAGGGGGACAGATCCTCATAGGAGACAGATTTTCATGCTACACCGGAACGGCGCGGGAACACGGCGAGAGGAACGCGCGGAGCAAAGGTAAGTGAATTGACACAGGGGGGACTTGGGGACTTAATATGGGGGATGAATTAATATGGGGGATGAATTACTATATGGGGGATGAATTACTATATGGGGGATGAATTACTATGGGGGGACGAATTACTATATGGGGGACGAATTACTATATGGGGGACGAATTACTATGGGGGATGAATTACTATGGGGGATGAATTACTATATGGGGGATGAATTACTAAGCTTACTATGGGGGAATATTACTATACTTACTATGGATGACACATACACAGCATTCATCTACTCTTGGTCCGGCCCCCGGGTCCAATATATGAACCCATTGCGGCCCTCAAGTCAAAAAGTTTGCCCACCCCTGCAATAGGGTCTTCTGTGTGCCGGGCGGCCGCTCCCCTCCCTCCTCTCGGGCGGCCGCCCCAAAAGTCAGGACTCTGCAGCTAGCCCAGCAATGGGCAAACTACGGCCCGGCGGACCTTTTAATCCGGCCCGCGGAGCGTGGCAAACATTGGCTGTCAGGATGTAGGCCGGGCAGCGTGACGAACTCCTCTCCTCTCACAGTCCGCCCTGAAGACCGGAACGGCGCGGGAACACGGCGAGAGGAACGCGCGGAGCAAAGGTAAGTGAATTGACACAATATGGGGAATGAATTACTATAGGGGGGATGAATTACTATATGGGGGGATGAATTACTATATGGGGGATGATTACTATATGAGGGAATTACTATATGGGGGATGAATTACTATATGGGGGGATGAATTACTATATGGGGGATGAATTACTATATGGGGGATGAATTGCTATATGGGGGATGAATTGCTATATGGGGGATGAATTACTATATGGGGGATGAATTACTATATGGGGGATGAATTACTATGGGGGATGAATTGCTATATGGGGGATGAATTACTATATGGGGGATGTATTTTCAGTTTTAAAAATGTGGCTCTCAAAATAAATTTCAATCGTGGTTTTGGCGAGATTTGGCTCAGTTGAAAAAAAAGGTTGCCCACCACTGGCCTAAGGCTATGATTGTGATTATGACGATACACTGTGGCCCTTATTAACCCTTTGCTTACTGGGCCCTTAAACCCCCTTCATGACCAGAGCGCTTTTTGCAATATATGCAGTGTCGGATTTGTTTTAAATGTTGCAATGGTTTTGCGGCTCCCAGTCTTTTTTCCCTCTCGGAAGGAAACGGGTCCAAGTGGCTCTTTGTGTCTTAAAGGTTGCAGACCCCTGGTCTA